CGGCCCAAATTGTTAACAAGATTTTTAATATCCATAGTCTCCCCTCAACGTTGTATCCGATAGGGGTCCCCAATTCTCTTCCTTGTCCTTTGTTGGCCAGGCTGAACAAGCAAACCGGATAATGGGACGATTTTCTCTAGCCTCGTATTCTGCAATCCTTCTTCCTGGTCAGAGCAGCTTCTCTGGGTAGAGCACGCTCACAATTTCGCTCTGTCCTCTGCTTCTGGTTTGTCTCCTTTTCAGTGTTTGCCTCGGCTACCAGCCACCGCTTTTCTCATCTCAAGACACTGACTCTAAGATGCTGTATGTCCAATCCTTTTATTAACGTGCTAAATGTACTCAGAGAGGGGTTAGATCCACCCTATGCAAATCTCGTTCCCATACTCGGCGGGCCGCTAATAGACTTTGTGTCAAAAGCCCTCTTTATTCTTTTGGGCAGAGGGTTTGGCTGTCCTCTCTACGGACCCAGCGTACCTCATCCTCCGGGGATTCCCGTTGCCGGTCCTGATCGCTTATTTCTTTTCCATTATAACTTTCTGTTCCCTTTGACTGGATTTAATACCGAGAGACTTTCTGTTGGATTTAGATGCCTTGTGGCCACCTGTGTTATTTTCCCATGAACTGTTTGTCATCTATTAAATATTGTCAAACTGCCTCTTGCTTTGGTCCTCCTAACATGTGACAATTGTTAACATCATTTAATAAAATGTGAACTAACATTAACAATGCATAGCCGTATTTTTATTAAATAATGTTAACAAAGATTAACAAATACACTAACAAATGGATTGCTCATAGTTACTTCATGTTAGTTAATACTGTACATTAACTAATGAACCTTATTGTAAAGTGATTTATATTTATTTAGATTTATATTATTCAGAAAAACATAGTTTTAATATTGGACATTTATTTGCTTATCCGTGTCAGGCAGAATAATATTGGTTCATTCCTAATTATAATTATGACAAATCTGTAAATAATTAAGATTGTGTTTAAATACAATCTACAAACAATGTGCTACCAAAAATAGACAATTGCAAATGGCTGCATACTGCACAAATACGTTGTATTTAAAAAGGTAAAATTATATAATTGATCATTTAATTAAGGCCCTTTAAAATCACGATGAAATTAAAATGGACAATTCTTATTATTTTTACAGATTCTAAAGATTTCATAAATGATTTATCTGTGCAGGTTTTATTTTAAAAAAATCCACGCGCACTTGTATTCTTTAATTTAAAAAAAAAAAAAAACGACCACCTCCCCTCCCCCTCAAAACGATGTCTGTTATCTTCTTTCCGTTTGTCTCGAGAGAGTGTGGGACTAATGCCGCATTCCAGGCAACGTGTAACCCGTGTTTTTTCCAAACTTATATCCGTAAAAGTGCACTGGAACGGTAGTCAAACCCGTGACTTTCCACCCGTGAACTCGTACTAGATCGATGTATTCCCAGTTCCGAACTCTGACGTCACATAGCCCGCAAAACCATACAAAACAACAATGGCAGCCCCTACGGATGCAGAGTTTCTGCAGGCGGTACACGGTGAGAATACACTTTAGGACAATACGTTCACTAGTTTTCAGTCCATTGAGTGCAAGGATAAATTAATACCAAATACCTTTCCAAATAAAAATAAAGTCAAATAAAAGTCATAACAGTTTATTTTTTCCATAACAGCGTTGTTTTTCCACCTCCATTTCCCTCAAATAAACAAGCAGTAAGCACCTTTGGCGACAGAAATTGTTACAAATGCGCATAAGCCCCGTAAGGCCCGTAAAATGTTTGTTTACATCTAGCTACCACAATTCCTTGCGCTTAGGGATTGGTGTGACTGGAATGCTACAAAGTCGTGAGTCGTGGTTTGAAGTCATGATTTTTGTGCTAAAAAACCTGCCTGGAACGCTGCATAAATATCCTCCACATATGACTGCAAACTGACATTCAGATCTGCCTCAATTTAGTTATCGCCCAACTTCTTACGGTTCAATCAGTTCCCAACCAACATTTTTGTTCTTGTTCGAGAAGCCGTTGCGCTCGAATATACATCAAAACAGTGAAGAAAAGACTATACCAACTTGTGTTCCATGCTTTAAAATGATACATTTTCATTTGATGTATAATGTGGAAATGTTTGACTAGAGGCTTTAAAACAACGTGTCATCTTCAAAGCAGCTAATGACCTAGTGAATTTCATTTCCATATCCCATCATTTTGACAGGCTGTTAATCTGGCGTTATGAGCGATATCTCATTCACATCACCAATAAAACTCTCCACCAGACACATCCCATCAGCCTGTGCCGAGGAGGACCAATAGTGTGTCACTGCAAACCAAATCAGACAAAGGAAAAAAAAACAAAAAAAAAACACATGGCCATAATCTGGGTCTTACACCACTGGCTTATTTGTCCCTAATAATGGATCATAAAAAATAGACATCATGATCGTGTTCAATCACGCCTTTGATCTTTTCCTAACAATTAAATCTACAGTATTTAAAAGGAAAAAACCCTCCTTTGGTGGGTAAACAACATTAGAACTCTCTATTTATGAGTATTTCATCAGCGAGGGTTGAAAGGTGTGTGTGTGTGTGTAAGTGTGTAGGGGGAGGGGGTTGAGGAGGGCTGTGGACTGATTCATGTCAGACTGATTCTGATTCATCACAGCCAGTCACCTGATTGCACTTTAAAAAGCTGCTCCTCTCAAGAAGCTATTCAGGCCAAATCCATCTCCCAAGGACAGTCAAATCAGTTCCGCTGCTCCATGTGCTGGTTACAAACTCACACAAGATGACCTGGAGACTGTATGCTAATAATCCAGCAAAGTACAAGGGTTACAGTTTCTGCTGCTTTCCTTGTAAATCTTAATATTCATTAAAACATATTGACACTGAAACACATTTCACCAACTGAGATTGTCTTGAGAAAAACAAATCAGTTAGACAACAATGAGCATAAAACATCTCATTTGTGGCTGAAGGTGTAATAAAAACAGCCTATATCGATCAGTATCCGTTTGTTATGTTGACATCTTTCGTCATATTCATTACTTTTAAAAACAACATTGATATTTATGACTGGCACTGTATGTTTTATATAGGATACTCAAGCTAGATTTCACACTATTTACTCTAGTAAATATTTACCTGAATACTTAAAATATTGTCTACAAAACGTAGACATTATTCATTGTTGATGGCCAGTAAAAGAGATTCATTGTTTTAACTTGCTCTCCTATTGGGGCATGTTGTCTCACAATGTATGTTAAAAGAAATGTCTTGTTTTCCAAGGGAACGTTTACCTTTTTTTCACTTTATGGGGTATGTTGTCACATTAGAACCTGCCACAACTTATAGGCTTTAAAAAAATAATAATATGACAAATATAAAATATCAAACTGCTGTTTTTGCTGCAAAATTATATATATATATATATATATATATATATATATATATATCATATATCAAACATCATTGTTGATTGACAAACTTTTTGTTGAAAATCTGTTATATCTTGCCTCAAAAATATTGTGTTTTTATTGTTTAGTTGTTTGCCCAAAATATATATTTTATTTTATTTTTTAACCTTTGGAGGGTTTTAAACAAGATTTTTGAAACCAACATACACAACCACTGCTACCGAATACAAGCATCTGTGTAAATGAATAACCCCCGGGACAACTAGCCCCAGGTTCCCCTATTCAAAGAATAATATCAGATGATAGATATGTTGGAGAACTGCTAATGAATTTATTAATTCAACGTAGATATCATCTAAAAAATGAGGCACTGTTGTTTCTCTCTGTGCAAAACTCTACAAATCATTCAGTCCACCATCATTCAGTGCAAGTGAGGAATTACATCCATCCATACATCTACAACTGACAATACATGAATTCCCGATTAATGGCCAACAAAAATGATTTCTCTCTGGGGGAAAAAAACAATGTTAACAAATACAGAATGCAGTGCCTAACTGAAGTTACAGTATAAATGATTCAATAGAAACGCTGTAGCAATGTTCCTGAAATACTGCCTTGCGTGTCATTCACATACAGTGTTTGTTTCCCCTTTTACACCATTTTTTAAACTTGTCTATATGACTGTAAGATGGATGACTTCATGACTGGATGTCCCAAAGAAGCTTTAAGAAGTTTAAGTTTTAAAATGCATGTTGCATTCTGTTCAATACCACTGTCTTGTCTAGCTGGTTTAGATCACTTCCTGTCTGAACAACCCACACTCTCAGAAAAAAGGTACAAAAGCTGTCACTGGGGCTGTACCTTTTCAAAAGGTAAACTTTTGTCCATTTTAGGTGCTAATATGTCCATTTCATGAGCTAATATGTACAGTTTAGGTGTTAATATGTACATTTTAGGTGCTAATACGTCCATTTCAGGAGCTAATATGTACATTTTAGGTGCTAATAAGTACATTTTAGTCGTTAATACATTTTAAGTGTTAATATGTACATTTTAGGTGCTAATATGTCCATTTCGGGAGCTAATATGTCCATTTTAGGTCCTAAATTATGTACATTTTAAGTGTTAACATGCTTTTTAGGTGTTAATATGTAAATTTTAGGTGCTAAATGTCCATTTCATGAGATAATATCTCCATTTTAGGTGGCCATATGTATATTTTATGTGCTAATATGTACATTGTAAGTGCTAATATGTACATTTTAGGTGCAAATAGGTACCACTATGGTACCAATATGCAGCCTTTGGGTACAAAAGTGTACCTTTTGAAGAGGTACAGCCCCAGTGACAGCTTTTGTACCGTTTTTTTTCTGAGAGTGCATTGCAATTTGCGATTACAACACCATCCTTCACTTTGTGTACTGTATATAATGACTTAATGCTGACTAACTAGATAGAACACTAGATTTTGTTACACAGCTATTGGGTCTGCTAAAAATGGACCAGACTGAATTTTATCTGAAAAACAAAACAAAAAGAAAATCAACATTTAAAGGGACAGTTACCCAAAAAAATAAAGTTTTGTCATCATCTGCTCACCTTCATGGCGTTCCAAACCTGGATGACTTCCTTGACATTTATTCATTTAGCAGATGCTTTTATCTAAGGCGATAAACTAATTAGTAATACAAGTAATTCATCTTGAAGTGGAAATAAACACAAATCTTTCAGAATATAGTACGAGTACTTTCTTCTGCGGAACACGTAAGAGGACATTTTGAAAAAACTGAATCTGTTTTTTGTCTAAAGTCTATGGGGTCCAGTGTTGTTGGACCCCAACGTTCATTCAAAACATATTTTGTGTTCCATAGAAGAAAGAAATTTATACAGGTCTAACATGAGGGCGAGAAAATGATGTCATTTTCATTTTTGGTGATCTTTCCCTTTAAGAGTTACAGTATAGTGATCAACAAATGAACTTTGGCTTTGAGTTGCTCCACAGGTGTTTGTCAAAGAGCCATCAATGACAGCAGTCTCTGCTGAAGGAAGTAGTGTAAACTACTTTTAATTTCTGTAATTACATAAGTGTCAGATGGTTGAGACATATCACTACACAGTAGCATCTTGGAATGGAGTCTCTGCGATCCGGTGGTCAGAAAGTGTAATCGAGACCCCATAACATGACTGTGTATTTTGACCCTTGAGCATTAGGATTGGACCTGACCCAGTCTGATTGTAGGAACATCCAACTACGACCACTAGGGGCTCTATTGATCTCTCAATGTTACACGAAGTTCTCATTCTCAACACTTCAGCCTTGCCAACACAACCAGGAAAGGTTAACAAGGCAGATGGAACAGCAGAGCAAGAGCACATGAAAGTGAAAACACTGTTGCTGTATGGCAGAATGGTAGAAAAAAGGTCCATTGACAAATTCGCACATTGCTTTCTCCGTTCACAATCAAACCCCATCCTGGATGCCGCCATTATACTTCCGAGTGCTGACGTTGTTGTGAGAAGCTCTTGTTAGGGGGTAGAGCCCCATCCTGCAAGGAACACAGCGATTAGATCTCTCTCAAAAGCACCGGCCTCACCGGTCTGAGGTATCCGTCTGCACACCGTCAGTCTCACCTTTTAATGCGGCCGATCTGCTCACACAAGAAGGACAGGTACTGAGTGAGCTTGACCAGTCCGATGATGAGCGTGCCCCCCACCAGCGTGCACGTGGGCCAGAGGAGGGAGCTAATGATAGCCCCGCGTCCATAGAGACGTGTCAGGAGGACGCTGTCCTGCTGCTCTGAGGGGTCGTAGTAACACAAAACCTGTGTGTTTGTTTTCAGTCGCTCAGAGATGTTCATCACAATAGTGTGCATCAGTGTGTGATCCTTGCGGCACTTTGGGATGTAAAAACACTGATGGGAAAGAAGGAAATGCATTTACTTGAAACAATTCAGTTCAGCCTAGTTTAATTTGTGTAGTGGTCATTTATCATTCTCAGAAATTGCACTGTCATATCTTCTTGGGGACAAATTGTGATTTGATCATTTTACCCTGCATCCTTAATATGTGAGATTAGAATAAGTATGTCCCAAAGCAAAGTATGTTGGAAAGACTATGCGAAAAGGCCCCATCGATTTTCAATAAGTGTGGATCTGTGCACACTATCGGCTAATATTCCCCACAACACGTGTTTTGGCGAAGGATTCAGTTCAGAAATACAAACGTGAATAGAAAAGACATGCTGTATGTGTGTATGACCGATGTCCTGAATGGTATTATTTATCAATATATATAACCTGGTGAAATTGCATTATTTATATTATATTCCATCTCCAACAACATTAGGGGCTTTGGCACCGGGTAGCTATAACTCAGTTATAGGAACTAGCCACCAACAGGTGCGTTCGGACAATCAACGGCCAATTGGAACGGTGAAACCTTTCCTCTGGTGTGATTGTAAAAGGCCCTATTGTAAAATTTTAAAAAGACAGAAATAGAACATTTAGCTAAATGGATATTTTTAGCCATTATAATAAATGTATCAAAATGCAAAAATGATTAGGAGTGTTCTTCGCATGAAAGACCACAACAAAATCTTACTTTTGAGTGTGCTACACTCAAAAGTATATACTTTTTATTCACAAAAAGAGTCAATTTTGGGTAACACTTTACATTAATCATGTACGAATACCTAAATTAATAATATCTTTACTATGAGCTAATGATGAGTTAAGACATGTACTAATGAGGAACTGACAAAATGTTTTGTTTGAGTAACCTAAACAATATATTTGTGTGGTAATTTATCTAAATAAACTGGTTTTATTCAGGGACAATCAGCCTGACCGCATTGGGTTACGCCAACAAAAATAATTTAATTCAAATTAGGTAAATGGATCCTTAAAGGGATACTTCAGGATTTCGCATTATGCTTTTTATTAGTAGAAAACCTTTACCATGTTAAATTACCATGCTTTCCATCCCCCTGAGATGAGAGATTTATGTAGTTTTTGTCTGGAAAAAATCTGGCCAGAGGTTACAATCCTCTTTTTCCCTGACATGTCCGGCCATCGATGTTCGGGATTCAGCTTTTGCTTTCTGCAGTCGGCATTCATTGTTTACATGTACACCTTTTGTTTAAATCTAACTGAATTCATTCCGATTGGTGAATTTGAATGTAATGTTTACATGAACGTTAAAAAAGTGATCGGTTGATGTGCGTTTTAACATCGCGATCTCAAAACACATTTTCGGGCAGACTCATCACGGAGACTCACTAGTAGCCTAGACTTGTTGTTTAACTTCTTCGCTCTGTCACCGGTAGGCATGGCCTCCAAGGGCAGTGAAGCGAGTGCATTCTGGGAGTTGTTGTCTTTCATCCACATAAGCCAAAAATACATTTTCTGGCTTTTCTCAGTCTAGAAAGCTCCAAATTAAAAAATAATTTCACATTTCTTCTACTTACTGTTTGTTCACACCAGACGCGAATAGCACGTCAAATTCACGCCTACCACGTCTAGTTATACACTTGAACACTTTGAGTCCATTCGCACATCAAGAGCGAAATTGACACGTGTAAAAACAAAAGTTTGAATTGAAATGTACGCGCGTCAGAATCAAAACCCATTGGCGGCCATCTTTTTTTCTGTTGATCGAGTATTCACCGAGAGAGTCACCGCTCTGTATTTGCTCTGGAGAGCAGAGCAGCGGCGTGGGGATCATCGTCGAGGCGAACCGTTTGGCGAGTTTCACCATTTGCTCGCTCCAGGAGATGAAATATTTGCTTTGTTGTGCATTAGAACCACACCAGGCATTTAGTCCTATTACAAAACAATTTATTAAAGCATCCAGATACTTCACCACGTGAGCAAGCAGCTAGGCTCATGATTGGTTTACGTTGCGCGAATTGACGCCAAAGTTTAGATTTTTCAACTAGGGCGGCAAGCGTGAATTCGCGTCAAACGCGTGAATGCACAAATAGAACTAAATAAATCATTCGCGCTTAACTTGCCAGATGCTCAATTCGCGCAATTCACATCTACCGCGCCATGCTCTCCGCTTCAGGAATTTTTTCGCGCGTAACACGTCTTTGCGTTGACTTAACTTTGAAATAACTCGCTATTCGTGTCTGTTGTGAACGCACCATTAAATGACCCATTTTAAATACACATTCATCTTTTCCAAAGGTGAAGTATCCCTTTCAGACAAATGTGTGCTTTTACAACATAGTGTCACAGAAGAACTGCCCATGCAGTGATATATCCCTAAAGTTTATCCATATGACTAAAGGTGCTGTACCTCAGGGTTGGCCTCATAGGCCTCCTCGTTGTATGACAGTCGCAGAACTTTCCCGGTGGAGTTCAGACTGACGTATACCTGAAGACAGGGATACCTGGAGCTCTTCCGGCACTCTGAGCCGCAACTGTAGCTGCAGTTAATCTCAGCAACTATACCGGAGTTCAGTACTGTGCAGTTTGACTCCTCTGTCCAAACGCTGAGAGAGAATGAATAGGGACAGAAGTGGAAAAAAGTTCAGAAATCATTTGTAATTGCATTATATGCATTTATCACACAAGATGTGCCAAGACAGCATGTCTTCAAATGTTCCTTGTAGCTCGTTCAAGTGTGTTTGACTACAGTTGAAATGAAATGAAAGGGAGGTAGATCTCCAGGAGAAGGACGGATCACACTTGACTTAATGTGAACCTTAACCCGTGGAGAGTTGTGACTGGTGAAAGGTGAGTTGTTAAAGGGTTAAAGTGAGTTAAAGTGACCATATTTCCAGACAGAAATGCAACTAAAATGGACACAGCTGTCTTGATGATTTTGCTTGAACGGCCTTTTGCAACAAGTTCTGTAATTAAAGCTGCTTTTATTTTTTAGCTGTTTCACATTACGCACAATATTTGAACATCAGGGATACTCTTCATATGCACTAGGGTGATTTGGCTGAATTTGGCCCTCTGATGTGGCGGCCGATTGCATGTTAGTACTGTAGTTGTCTTTGTGCCAGGGCTCTTGTCTCCTACTCTATGAATAACAGGCCTTGTGTTATTTGGCTGTTCCAAAGCCTCAGCTGCCCCTAATTGCCTTTGACTGCAGTGTATGCCAACTCTTATATGTGTGCAATCTATCGTAGGTCAGTGGTTATTTGGAAGATTAAGCTGTAATGTTAGCCAATCTGTGATTTACGTTCAAACAAGGATGGAATCTGTTAATGCGTGGTATCAGTGTGGACATGTCAACATTTCATAACCAGCTGAGGAGAACAACATGAATTATGCTGAAAAAATGCAGTTCTGTTCATAATAGAATGGACCCTTTTCAGAGACTGTGCTGCTGACCCATTTCAAATAACAAATCTAGAATTTTTTTTTTTTTTTTGTATTTTATGTACATTTTATAACATTGTACTTTTTTATAATATCCTGAGAGGGTGCTGTTAATTTTGGTAACACTTTATTTCGATGGTCCCTTTTGAACAATCTGTTGACTATAAGCAAGCAACTACCTGTCATCTAAATCTCATTTAAGTATTAGACAGTCTGTGTATCTGCTAACTTTATCGTGATGCTCCTCCAACATACGTTCAACTGATTAGAAGTAACTTTGCAACTACATGTCAACTTATTCTATCCCTAACCCTACCAGTCTACTCAACTAAAACTCTGATAGGAGTTAGTAGACATGTAGGTGCAACGTTATAGTCAGCAAAATGGCAAAGGTGCCATCAAAATAAAATAAAACCTTCATTTTATATAATATATTTTTTAGAATTGTTCTGTTTAAGACTATTATAATGCACAAATATATGCTATAGAATTGTACCCTGCTGTAGTTCACTTCTGTGCCCCAATCTCAGAAAAGTGAAAAGGTTCTAAAGAAGAAATGAAAGCATTCACGAGCAGAATAGAGTATCATATAACACAACAAAATCAAATTAATATAGAATAAAGACATTGTGAATGCTTTTGATTTAGATGTTTGTCAAAAACAGAATAGAACAGAACAAAAAAAGATTAGAATAGAAGTGTGCAAATCGAATAGAATACAGTAGAAATGAGAAACAACTGCAATCACAAGCATTTAGAAAAAAGAAAACAATCAAATAAAACAAATAGAATATAGTAGAAGACTTAAGAACCACCTGAAAAAATAAATAAATAAAAAACGTTCACATACAGAATAGAATAACACTAATTAGAATGGAGTAGAATACAATATACATTATGAGAAACATATATTTAAAGATTTTAAGGAATACATTGCACTTAAAAAAAAGTTCCAATGTTTTTCAAAAACGATGACATTGAAGAACATTAACATATTTATTTAAAGGTGTACTCAGTGTTTTTTTTTTTTCTTCGAAAGTTAAATTACTGCTACCATTGCAGAAATTATGAACTTAAACTTATTACTCAATTGCTATTCATTTTAACTCAACTTTTGAATGGGGATAAATGACTGACTGCACCTTTGATTCTATAGTTTCAATGTACTTTTGTACAGTTTTGTTCCCCTAAGGGTGTCTGGTTATTTTTACCTGTCTGAGTAAGAGCGCACCATTGTGATGCCCAACACAAAGTACATCATGGCAGAGCAAAGGATCATGCTGAGGCCTAAGAGAATGGCTCTGTCCTCTCCAGCCTTCAGCGCTGTGACTGTCCTCCTCTTCTCCAAAACATCATACCCACGAATCTTCTGATAAATGGTCCTGCTTAAATTACATAACAGAAGTACAAATACACAAGGATTAATGAAGACCTGGTGTGTGCCAAACCTAATATAACAAAATGTTGCTTCAAGATTCATTTTACCAGTCCTTATGACTTAAAAAATAGGTTGGAGAGCCAGAATGAATTAGGTTTGGTTCAGAAACTTGGACAGTGACACAGATAAGTGCTACTGTCCTGTTACATATGCATAGTTAGTTCCTTTCCAAATATTTAGCTCATGATTCTTTAATCATGTTTTGACAGCAGGTCATATTGCTTTTGAAGATTATGCATGGGTGTGAAGGCAAGCTGTCTAACCTGTCTATCTTTATCAGTGACCTTTTGATAATTACTGAGTACAGTGGTCAAAAGCGTTACAAAGTCATAATAACACACTTCCTGTCATCAGTCAGAACCCAAGATTAGTTTGATTATTAAAATGTGTGTTTTCTGACTCTGAAATTAAACTGCTAAATCAGTGCAAAACAAAAGTAAATATGGCGAGTGAATTTCTTTCCATTAAACTATATATTGGTTCTAAATGAGAGTTGGTGGTTTTTTTTCATAAAACGTTGCACTTTGGGATGCAATTGTTGGTTGATATTAGTTGTTGTTTAAAAAATAATGATCATTTGTATTATTATTATTGGTGGTGCTGTTGTTGTAAATGTATCAGTCACTATTTAATTGTGCATGTTAATTGTGATTTTGTGATGACATCCATCACTCACTTATAGTTAATATTTAAGTAACACTTGTAGCAATTGACTTTAGATTTTAGTTTTATTGTTTCACTTTTTTAGACACATTTTTAGATCAGCCATTTATCGGTTATTGCCTGTAAAATGAAATAATTTAATATCTACACATTTTTAAGTAAAAAACAAACAAACCGTTATTTATAATATATTAATACACATTTGTAATCAGAATTGAACTGTTTTTTCCTAATTATTTTTTCAGTCTGTACTTAAAATCAACATGAACTCAAACATGCAGCCTCTTGTCCTCATAGAGATAATTAAAGGTTAGTGTTGTCACATGTGGTTTAGTTAGTTAGTTGAGTTATTGTACTTTACCTTCTCTCACTTCCAGATCCTTGAGCTCCTTTGCTTCCAGCCCAGAGAAACATTCTCCCAGTTATTACACTGTGTGCGGCTCTCTCTGAAGCGCTCGCAAAACACTGCAGGGACGACCTGACGGAAAAACACACACTCTTAGCTGACCATGTGCTTCCCTCCACACCGGTTCATCTGCACACTGCTCCTGGACGAAAAGCTGGGTCTTATATTTATAACACAGCCTTCGGAGAATGTTCTGGCTTCTCCACAGAGTTTCAGCTCCTCACAGGTTGGTGAAATTTTACAACCGCAGTATTAAACCAATGGCTCCATGGCTGTTGATAAGTCCAAAAAGAGAATCCAAATAGAATAAAAGTAAGTTTCTATAATCCTCAGCAACAAAATAAGTCCGTCTCACATGGTTAGAACCAGTTCTCCAGAAAAAGAACTCACTCCAGGCATTGAACTAAGCATCTTCTCCTTCATTTCCTGCCTGTTGGTTTGTTATTGACTATTCATGGGCTATAATAATGAGAGTAGTGAGCAAGGAGGGGAGGACCATTCACGGCATTGATCCCTTCCTCCTGCCATGGCGGAGAGAGTGAGCGAGAGAGAGAGGAAAGGGAGAGGCAGTGTCGTTCAAAGCCGCCTCCTCCCCTGCACCCTGTTGATGATTGGTATTGATGGAGAGTCCTGTAGCATCAAGGTGACACAGGTGTTTTGGGCCACACTGACTGACTGCACACTCCTGCCCTCATATTCTATCCAGTCCATGGCTCATGTGTGTCGTTGAATGTACCCAGAAGCGTTTAACTGGAAATATAAATGGCATTCGAAGAACTGAGCTTATGTAATAGTCCAGCACATGTTGAGATTGTGGAATATTGTGCTGGTTTCTATTGATTTTTAATTCTCTCAAAAGATACAATTATTTTTGCTTTAGCCTCATGTCGTTCCAAAACCATACGTGCATTGTTTTTTTTTGTTGCTTTTTTGGAACACAAGGAGAGTTTCACTGTATGACTGTTTTTACTGTATTTTTGATCAACATGCTGCCTTTGAAAGCATTATATATGAGTGCAGCTGCTTGACAATTCTTCAGGATCTTAATTTTGGGACAACTTATTCTTTTAAATAATCACTTGGTCAAAACGTGAACTATGTTCCTGTATTCACAGCAGTTTTGTTTCATGTGTGACCTGGAACGGCCTTGTGTTTACCCTTAGGACTGTTTTACTTTTTTACTTACTGTCTTCATTTTGTTTTGCAAAGCATTTTTACTTAAAATAATGAAAACAGGTAATAGTAATAAAAATAATAGTACACTTAGAAGAAAAGGTTCTATACAGAACCCTTTACGGTTCTTTGTAACCAGGAAAAAAAAGTTCTATGTGGAACCTTTTGGGTTCATTCATTATCATTTGTTTTGTCCTTTCCGGATTAAATATTTCATATTATTGACAAACATCAAGACCCAAAAATGCATTTATGAATGCTTGTGAATGATCACAAAATTCAAGATATGGGGGTTAGAAAATGTATATATTTATATCATTTTATGTAGTAAATCAATATCACATGAAGAGTGCCATTTCAGTTTTTCTCCTCCAAAAATCAGCATGATTAAAATGTGATATTAACAGTTTAATAAACAATAATATAATTACAACTACCACCTTTTGCAGAATAATGTAATATATAAATGAATAATAGCCTATAAAGAACCTTTGTGCAAAATGGGGTTCTTTCTTGTCATTATAGAACCTTTTTTTTTTAGCATAAAAGGTTCTTTAGAGTTGAGTAAAGAACCCCATGCTTCATATATAGAACCCCTTTTTTCTAAGAGTGTAGTATCATATCATTCAATCTTGGCTAATTACTTATCATATAAGTCCTTAGTGAAATATTAAAGTGAACACAGTGCATGAAGTGTGCTTTGTACTGTGTACAAGTCAGTATTTTAGATTATTACACAAGGCAAAATGATAGAAAAGGTTGGTTTTTAGATGGGTCAAAATTGTCAATATCGTGATCACATTAGTGTGACCAAATTATTTAAAAATAAAACATTTGAAACTACATTTAAGAATTCACTGACGTATTTAAACAGGTTCAACGCAAGCACATTAAAACATTTACTTTGTAAATGAATTAAGAAATTGATCACTCTTTTTTGAATCGTTCTTTTGTAGCCTGGTAGCCTAAAACATACCATGTCAAAACAAATTGTAGTACTATGGTAAACTGTGGTATGTTTTATTAGCGCTCTCTTGACTGACTGCAGCAATTTCCACTCTCGACCTGTCCTCAAAGGTGCACTGCAACATTTTATCTCAAATGAAAGTCTGAAAAGCAACAGGGAGCAAATCTCTGCTCTGCAGTGGAGAGCTGTAAACGTCAATGATGGGAATATTCCACATATCAAATTTGTGCATGCTGACTCTCTTTCCTGTGCTGAGTGAGGCGGCTCACAGGATGATGAACTAGATATGAGGCTGAGGCAGACAGGAAACACTCACTGACCCAAGGAAACCCGTTGTCCCCACCTCACCCAATAAAACATCTGTTTCGCATGACCATGACCATGTTTCATATGGATGTCTTTAAAAAGCTTGGTATGTCCTGGACAGTTGTTGGTATTTGCCCTTCCGGTCACCTTAGCTGGGTTAGTAATGCCTTACAGGGGCTTTTTTGTTGTTGTTGCAGAAAACACAGACATCTGGCATTCACCCCAAACAGCAGGGATGTTCAACCAATGTGTCCACACATGATGGGATTTACTAAACCCATATTGTCACCACGCTGATTTATGAGGCATTGTTGATACTCTATAGTTTGGTGGGAATAAAATCATAAAGAACAGGCTGGCTCAAGCTGGTGGAGAGCAAATAACTAAAAGTTGTGATTTTCAGTGTGCTGATAATAGTTTTCAAAACAGAAATTTGTCTAGTAACAAACTACCCCCAATGGAATAGGTTTTAATTGTATGTGCAGGTCCTATGCTGTAGTGAATCTGTTTGCTCAGAAAATGATTAACTGATTTCCTGAAGTTCCTGTGCTGCTTTGTATTTATCTTTTTTGCAGCGCAATAATAGCACACTAATAATCACTGTCAAACACTGCTATTAATGACTGTTTTCAACTGTTTCATTGAATTTCACTTTTTACAGCAAAATATTTAGTTAAACATTGCTATTTGTAACTGTTTTCATCTCAATTAAAATGTTTTTTTAGTCATTTATAAATTGGTTTGTTAGTGAATCAGTCTTGAAAATGAGATAAAATGAGAATTATTTACTGAATCTGATGCCATTGCAGCATTTAGGTCTTTTTTTTTTCTTTTTTCTTTTTGCAAAATATAGATAAAAGTTGTTATTTTTTACTGTTTTCATCTCAATTAAATTGTTTACAAGAATTATTCTAGTTTTTTTTAGTTGGTTCACTAAGGAATCAGTTTGCTCAGAAAATGATTCACTGATTCAGGTGCCTTTAAAGAATTAAGTTTAAAGGAGTAGTTCACTTTAAACTTTTGCTGATAATTTACTCACCCCCATGTCATCCAAGATATGTCTTTCTTTCTTCAGTCAAAAAGAAATGAAGGTTTTGATGAAAACATTCCAGCATTTTTCTCCATATGATGCACTTCACTGGTAACCAAACGGTTCAAGGTCCAAAAGACAGTTTCAGTACAAACTGCAAACTGTTCAAAGGGCTTTAAACGATTCCAGATGATTAATAAGGGTCTTATCTAGTGAAACGATCGTTCATTTAATAAATAAATAACAAAGTTTAAGTTTTATAAGCTCAAATACTCGCCTTACTCTGTTCTGATGCACGTTCGTGACTCTCCAGTTCGAACTCGTTCATCAAAATGAACTAATCTTTTTTCGAGTCATTTGTTTCATTCAACAAACGAAATGAACGAATTGACTCGGAAAAAGATTTGTTTATTTTGATGAACGAGTTTGAACAGGAGAGTCACACAGAACAGAGCAAGGCAAGCATTTGAGCTTATAAAGCTTAAACTTTGTTATTTATTTATTTATTTTAAATGACCTATTGTTTCGCTTGATAAGACCCTTATTCATCGTCTGGGATCGTTTAAAGCCCTTTGAACAGTTTGCAGTTTGCACTGAAACTGTCTTTTGGACCTGGAACCATTTGGTGCCCACCCAGTAAAGTGCATTATATGGAGAAAAATCCTGGAATGTTTTCATCAAAATCCTTCATTACTTTTCGACTGAAGAAAGAAAGACATGGACATCTTGGATGACATGGGGATGAGTAAATTAATTGGTTTGATAATGAATTAGCTTAGATTAGAATCACTTATTCAAGTCCTTGCGACACATTTAAGGATTGTTCTATTATATGGGATGATATTTTTAAGCTATTTAGCATGCAGAGCCAAATTATGTGAATGTGTTGTTTGAGGCTGGGCTGCTCCTCTGTCTTTAGCTAAATGACTTGCTAATGCTGCCTTCTGGAGGCCTGACATATGAAAATGATAAATAATTATTGCTCTTTCACTTCACAACTGCCTGGATAAAGCCCAGGTGTCTCAGTGCGAAACAACAACTAAAACCAGAATTAAAGCACTTTATTCAGTTGCTTTCTTCTATTTATTACAAACATTTTACAAATGCGTTTCAAGCAGTTATTTCTAAATCTTTATGATGATATAGGGCTTAATTTACTTCATAGCATTAAGAGAATGAGCGTCACTGTTTAAGTTGCTTTTTTGTATGTTTGTCATTATCCATGTTGCATTCATTAACAAAATGATCTCTGTTCACCCTTGTTATTTAACACACAATTACACACCTAATGTTGCATGAAATTATGGCTCTAATGACAAAAACAGAGGTAAACTCCAAAGGACGACGTAACCGATGAGGTTAAGACAAGCTAAATTAAATGTTCAGAGTTGACTGAAACAATGTGCCAGTCATCAAGCCCATAGATATTCCATAATTTGTTAAATTAAGATCAGAAAGACAATAATAATATAATCTAATACAGAGTATTTTCACCTGGATGACAAGCTATGAAATAATATCAAGCTAAATGTGTATTTGTACTGTGTGTGGAGTGACAGGATCATCTAAATTCCTATTATACACCTCTCTGTAATTCTCTTCTGATTGTGACATTCAGCAGTGTAATATTTCCAAATATTCACCTTTGTCCATGGCAACGCTGTATATCAGTCCATTCATCCAGATAACTGAAACTGGCTAATTTCTCTCATATCACACTGCCGACTCACTCTCTCTTGTTTCATATTAACGCAGCTGGTGCCTTCTTGTGTCTCAGTTATCGATTGCTCGTCTTGCAGTATTACACTCACCTAAAGGATTATTTGGAACATCATACTAATACTGTGTTTGACCCCCTTTGCCTTCAGAACTGCCTTAATTCTACGTGGCATTGATTCAACAAGGTGCTGAAAGCATTCTTTAGAAATGTTGGCCTATATTGAAACGATAGCATCTTGCAGTTGATGCACATCCAGGGCACGAAGCTCCCGTTCCATCACATCCCAAAGATGCTCTATTGTGTTGAGATCTGGTGACTGTGGGGGCCATTTTAGTACAGTGAACTCATTGTCATGTTCAAGAAACCAATTTGAAATTATTTGAGCTTTGTGACATTGTGCATTATCCTGCTGGAAGTAGCCATAAGAGGATGGGTACATGGTGGCCATAAAGGGATGGACATGGTCAGAAACAATGCTCAGGTAGGCCGTTGCATTTAAACAAGGCCCAATTTGCACTAAGAGGCTGAAAGTGTGCCAAGAAAACATCCCCCACACCATTACACCACCAGCAGCCTGCACAGTGGTAACAAGGCATGATGGATCCATGTTCTCACTCGGTTTACGCCAAATTCTGACTCTACCATCTGAATGTCTCAACAGAAATCGAGACTCATAAGACCAGGCAACATTTT